CTGTGTCATACCGCATCACTGGTCCCCTCCTCAACTGGCTGTCTGACTACCTGTATGACAGTAAGTTGCAGGCAGTAGTCGGCGGAGCATCTTCAGAACCATACAAGATTGATGCTGGGGTCCCACAAGGGAGCATCCTTGGGCCCACACTGTTTTTGCTGTACGTGAATGACGCCTGCGACGTCCTACCGGAAGGGATCACCCCGGCTGTTAACGCAGATGACACCACGCTTTATGCCCACATCCCAATGCCACATGCTGTGACAGAAGTGTGCCGCAACCTCCAAGCTGGTGTGGATGCACTTGCTGAATGGGGTGCTCAGTGACGTGTCACTTTTGAGCCAACGAAATCACAGGCCATGACTGTGTCCCGCCACCACAGACCCTGGGAGACACCACCCATCAAGTTCAATGGCACAGCGGTATCGGAATGCTCGCGGCTGAAGCTCCTTGGAGTGACGTTTGATGCCCATCTACCATACTCGGAGCATCTTCGAGGAACTGCAGTGCATGCCACACAGCGAATTGGTTTCTTCCGGAAAGCGTGCCATGTCCTGGACCCACCGGGCCGGGCCACAGCATACCGGGGGTTCATTCCGCCTCTAATGGAGTACTGCCCACTTGTATGGATGGGAGCTGCGGCTAACCATCTCCCACAGCAGGACCGAGTCCAGCATCGTGCCCTCACCCTGATTGGGACAGGGGCTGCAATGGACACTCTGTCCCTGCGGCGCCGTGTGGCCAGCCTCACAACTCTGTACAAGCTCCATTATATCGCAAGCCCACCAGCTCTTGCAGCGACACGCCCAGCCAGAGCCATCGCACCCGCCATCGCGCCTGCCACACGTCGCCGCTCGGCAGCCAACCTTGCGCACGAGCTTCAACTCCAGACAGCCCTACCTGCCAGATCGTGCAATGTTGCGCTGCGCTCTTTCCCGGAGTGCCTCATCGAAGCTTAGAATGAACTGCCAGCCACTCTCCTCCGCAATGCACCGTCTGCCAAAGGGATGCAGCAGTTCAAGGTTCTGACCTACCGCTACCTGAAACGGTCGGGCTGGTCATTGGCCACGGACATCGCCCCCTAGTCTAATGCCAGTATGACCCTGTTCATGTTCTCGGAGCACTCCCTTCTCATCCAACTCCCAATCCATCCGTCTTTATCTCTCTCTAACTCTCCTCCATTCTCACTCTAATCTTTCGTCAAATCTGCACGGCAATCAGCCTCTACCTTCGCCTCAGCATCATGATCTTGATACAGGTCCTCCCTCATTATAACGAGTCCGGTTACTACATAAACTCCGTTAGTAAATAGAAATCTGAAATCCTCTGGCAAAACATGGTCTATACAACTGGTTACAGGTCCGGTTACAACATAATCCGTTAGTACATAAAATCCGTTATAACGACCCTTTGCCCAGGTCCCTGGAGTGCCAAACCCTCAGTATAAGATAATATTGACCATGCAGGACCAAGGCCAAAACACGTAGGATAAAGCAGAAAGAGGAAACGTATTATGTCTATGTATTCGTGAATATGGACGATCCTTTGTATCCAAGGAAGAGTTATGTTGGAGTAACTTGGAGATTTTCAATTATCTTATAACGAGTTGAAGCATTGATAATTTATGTTGTATCGAGGGTAGCCCCGGTAAGTACGAAGTACTGCCTATTTCACCTTTAGCTGCAAGTCCTGCTACAAGATAAGTCTCGTTATAAGATAACTTTTTCGATGGCCCAGAGATTATCTACTAACGAGGGAGGACCTGTACTGCTATATTTGTACTTGTTTGCATACTTGTTTGCACTCATATCTTGGAATAACAAGTTTCCTGGTTTCCTCCCCCCTACTCTCTTTCCTACCCTTAGAGTTCTTGATCTCCTGCTCCCCTCCCCGCCCTTCCACTCCCTATTTTGTTTCCTTTGGTGCACATGTGCAGCTGTGATGCCGAGACCCTGGGTTGGCTGAGCTTCACAGGTCCCACCCAGTCCGTCCTGCTGGATATGTACCATTGTGTCGAGTTCTTCTCCTCATTTTAGTTCATCATGCAGTGAGTGTTCAATAGTAAAAAAATTAAAAATACAAAAATATGGGAGCTTATCACTCCCTTAGACTCACATTGATTTTTGCCATACCTAAGCAGTCAAATATTCCTGCATATTTCACTCATCAGTTAAGGCTATATTGACCGCTTATACTCGACTCCTTTTTAGCGATTGAACACATGCTTTGGTCAGTCGTGATAAATCTAATATTGACTTCGTACTTGGTCAGTATAGGAAATAAAAGACCTCGTAAAAGACCTCAGCTTCGCCTCGGTCTTTTAGTCAGCTTTTATTTCCTATATTGACCTCGTACTCAGTCAATACAGGGCCGGCGCCACTGGTACGGCCGGTACGGCCATGGGCGTACCAAAAAAATGGGCGTGGAACGTCCAAAACCGGGGAGAAAAGTTTCGATGTATGATTTTGTACAGGGAGTCGCCCAGAGTGCAGAATTTGCCGTCTAAATTCCAAAAATGTTCTGGGGGAGGGCCCCCAGACATGGCCCTTAAACATGGCCCTTCGGCCGCACCACTTCGCGGAAGCTGCCTCCGGCCCTGCAATATTAGATACATAGTGATGGTGAGGCTTTTTTCCTCAGCTGACCTAAGGTCTCGGCGTCATGGCGACATAAAATGCTCCAAAAAACGAACGAAGATGTTGTGACTTTGGTGACAGAGTGATTGGTAAAGAAAGTGTCTGCTCCAAGTAACTGGTGGTGTTAGTGGACAATATAGCGTATCTTGTAGCTCTTTGGTCCTTTTCTTTGCTATAAATTTATCCTTGGCTCTCCATCTGACTCCATCTTTGCATACCTGATGAGCCGTCCTTTTTTATGCTGCGAAACGATTGTCGTGTGAAACTGCTGCTTGTTAAGGTTGGTTCACATAAGCCAAATCGGCGCCGGGAAGCACTGGCGGTGATCCACCTCACGGTTTGTCCTGTATACGGTTCGAGTACTGCTGTAGTACCAAATTCATTACAAAGTAGTGCAGAATCAGATCATGAAACTACTTCTACACTATTCATTGCAGTCTAGTAAGCGGTGGTGTCGAAGTTCTGCATTCAAACATTGATGAAGTCACAAGAGCTTGCGAATGCATCCTTCATATTTCTATTTCTTTCAATTGTATTTTGTCTCATAAGCTGCACCACAGTCAAGCCGATCATGCGGGAAGGACGGGTTGGTATGCTGACTTTATTTGCCACATTGATGCGACTATAAGAATGGCGAACGTATCTCAACCTTAGCTTCCATTTAGGAAAATTTAGGACGAATCTTGGTTTGAAAATTTGACAAAGTCTGGGTCCTGGCACCGGCGATCATCGGCGCAAACGGTTCACAACCCACTTTTGGTCAAAATTGTACGGGATCGGTGCCGGAGCAGATTGGGATTGCAAGAGTTGAGCCTGCCCAACTTTGCCGCTGGACCCATGCGATTAGTTACAGTATGATTTTGTTACAATTGCACTGGTTCATATCATTGCAATTCACTGGGAGAGGTTGCAAGAGGCTCACCGCCGGTGGCTCCCGGCGTATACCGGCGATATATGAACCAACCCCAACTGCTGCTCATTGTGCATCCAAATTGTCATAGTTGAAGTACAGTACAGTTTTTCTGAGACGTTCAGTTTTGCATGATTCGAGTTATCTTAGCTTCTTATTCAATTGATCTTCGAATCTTTAGCACCACACAAGTTGCATGTTATGTTGTCTTGCGTCCTTGAATCGCGGTTTGACGAATGGTCTTGCCAGTATCGTCATTAGCATGCGTGTACATCCGTCAACGACCTTCACAACTAAAACTTTTAGCTTGTGCTTATCTTGGTTGCGTGCACCTTCTCCTCCATGTTATTCCTATAACTTCAAATCTTCCAAGTCTGAAGGCTGTTGGAGTGCCCATCCAAGACGTGCTAGAGTTGATTGTCAGTTAGGTGTCCTACTCAATACAAAATAGGGTGGATTACAGTATAATGTTAGGCTAGACAGTCACCAGTCAGTTATCCACTGATTGCCTGCATCTATTATTATAGAATGATTCGCATGCATTTAGGATGAAATGGGCGTTTACGATAGTAAATTATATCCATGTTACTGACAACAGACTGTCTTCTATTCTCCACGTAATTTCTACATGGGTTTTGTAGTGGTCACGCCCATATCATTGACATTCTGCAATAATCCATGGTTGTCGATCTTCATAATACTAAGAGTATGTTGAATTCGAACAAGAGACTGACGACGGGAACAGGTAGGTTGGTGGAACGACATTTATTAGAGACGGGATGACTAAGACCAGGACGAACGAAACGACTACATGGTGATTATTGAAGAGAGCGAGTTGAAGAGAGCTTATTGAAGAGAGAGTGTTGAAGAGAGAAGCAACCCAATATAAAGGGCCTGGGTAGCCATGGCAAACATGGGCGCGCAAGTAGCTACCCAGGCCAAATGAATAATGCATGAACTAATGAATATGAACTGATTACTTGTGGGCCTCACAAGTAGATAAACAAGAGTGTACCACTCCAGGATGGGTTGGCCCGCGGCGGAATTTTCTGTTGACGTAATCTTTTCTATGACGCACACGCTTCAAGTCTTTTGGAAAGTTTTGCCTTGTGCACTTGGCCGGGCTTTATATTACAAGGTCGGTGCCCAGCACGTGCTCTCACACTGTTCTGTGGCAAAATGCGTGTTTTCCAAGAAAAAAAGGTGACATCAACAAAAAATTCCGCCGTGAGCAGGGGTATCTGCAGATTGTGCAGAAGAGATCCGGAGTTGCACACTCTTGTTTATCTTCTCTTGATAATATGGATCCGAGGTTCCGACCTAAGGCAGAAGTCAATGTGGTTCATCTGCATTGACTCTGTTGCAGTACAGGCAAAACCCAGGTGTCTCTGATTAGTACCGGAGCCAATCTTGAGTCATTCTTCAATGTACAGGCAGAGTGGTGTGCAACTTACATTGTCAGTCTTGTCCACGTTGGCTTTACACTTGACAAGATGCTTGGCCATATCAATGTGACCCCTCCGACATGCCATATGTAGTGGAGTGCGCCGCCGTATACCCTAGTAAGAACAACACACGTAGTGATAGGATGTGTACACACACACACAACACGCATGTACAGACCCCCGGCCAAAGAACAACCATAAGCACACACTCTTGACCATTTGACCATTTGACGCCCATTGCCAGAGGCGATGATAGCAATGCTACAGCAGAAGCCATAGCAACTTGTGCCGGGATTGCACCAGTCAACAGCTTGCAAGGCTGAAGAATTGACAGCCACTATCCAGCCTGGTATAAAAAATTATTATGAAGTGGCTTTTTCTGGCCAGTGAATCCCTGCTTTTTAGTCTTTTTCAACTTTTCCTGCGAACACATTACACGACATACTCTGGCCAGCACTGGCTGTTGGTAACCACCCAGAAGCAATCACACACACCAGGGCATAGATTAACGGCCGGACATCGGACATTTTCCGGCCATTTTCGGCCACTGACCGGACGTTTTCAATTTCACCGGACATAGTGTCCGGTCAAAAAGGAAAAAAAGAGCAGCGACCTTTCGACCTTTTTATGCAGAGTTGGGCTTTCTTCGGAGCTTCGTGCCAAATGCGACTTGCATATCGAACAACTAACACGTCTACACCGTAGCCTCAGGCGTAGACTTCACCAGATTTACTTGATCCGCCTGTAGCAACGCGGTTGCTACAGTCAATTCACACTTTCGACCTTTGGTACATGGTGTCGACTTCGCACTTGAATCGATAGGTTGAAATGCAGTCTGCAGTCTGAGTTGTTCGCTCTTGAGAGGAAGATGACATCTTTTATTTTCACTCTTTCACTGACCAGAAATGCTGATAGTCTTTTAGAATGTCTTGTGGAAAGCGAAAGGGAGATTCAGAGGACTTGCTGCCGGGCAAAAAAGTCCATGGTGTGAAGGCCGCTACTTGCGATAAGTGGATCTCGGACAATGATGCAGAGCTGACTACTTCCTCCTGGCTGATTTATGACCGGCAGAAGAACGATCGGCTGTTAGCAGAATGTTTGAACTGTTCCGTGTGCATCAAGTTTGTAGACAGAGTCCCCAGTTGTAAAAACTTCAGCGAGGCTTTCATAACCGGATTTAAGAACCTGCGAATATCAGCGTTCAAGGATTATGCTGGAACGGAGATGCATAAACGAGCAATGAATCTTTTCCGTAGGCAAGAGTGACCCGCTCGAAATGCCCTCGAATTCGCTCCAATTGCGAAGGCACTGTGCAAGATGGACGATGGTGCTGCCGCTATTGCACGACGCAAATTCGAACTGACTTACCTTCTCTGCAAGGAGCATATCGCGTTCGCAAAATTCTTGACTGCAACGCTTTCTTGTACATACATTTGTCGTCAGTAAAAAAAAAGTTTAGTTTCTAATACAAGTAAATTGGCGAATTGTACATAGTATTGTGTGAGATACGTCCACATAATGAGTCATTGTGAATATACGTCATTACTACTAAAAAAAGAAGAAACAATCTGAAAATGTGTTGTGGAAAATGTCCGGGCATGTCCGGACAGATTTCAAAACGGAAGGACATTTGTCCGAGCTAAATGAAATCCTTAAGCTATGCCCTGCACACACACACACACACACACACACACACACACACACACACACACACACACACACACACACACACACACACACACACACACACACACACACACACACACACACACACACACACACACACACACACACACACACACAAGCGCGCACACACACACACACACACACACACACACACACACACGCACGCATACACGCACGCACGCGCATGCACGCACACATGCACACACGCACGCACCCCCCCCCCCCCCCCCCACACACACACACGTGTACGTGTACCGTAAAGTACTGCCAGAGCGCCCCGTCCTTTCGTGGTCACTCTGGAGAGGCAGGGTGGCTGCGAGTGTGTAAGATGGTCTGTACTAGGGTCATACACAAACTTACACAGCGACTGTCGTAGTGAAGCAACAGATGTTTGGTGAAGGTAAATTCCACGGTGTTCGTGCTGGCTGCAGCGCTGGGCACTGCAGTTCATATGGCTCACCTTTCAAGTAAAATGCGACGCAACCCCAATGTTGCAAAAACAAAGTGAACCCTGTACCACTTCAGTCGCACCAGGCCATACGATGTTCACTTCTACTGCCGGAAACGAATGTCCTCTTTCCGTAATTCAGGGTGGGGCGCGGTCGTGAGACGGGGCGTTCTGGCCGTACTTTATGGTACTTTTACTTGGTCACTGCCAGAACTGGTCACACGAGTCTCCCCCCGAGCAGGGGAGAGAGACTCAAAAGGAACCTTGGGAAGATGACTCAATTGGCTATTAAACCGCCCAGCGGCCAACACCCCCTGAAATCCCAAACCTCTGGTGGGTGGACTTGGAAGTGATCCCACTTTTGGGCTCACCACACCTCAGTACGTGGGTGAGGACAAGGTGCAGAGAAATGATTGACGATATCACGGTATCCGCACCAGGATCTAACTGCAGTTACCCCTGCAATGGGGTCAGGTTATGGTCATCTCAACATAACCTGGCCATAGTTGCATAATTATTATCTGCACTTTTGAAACCTATTTGAAATGACATTGTTAACACCACAGGAATACATGAATTGACCCATTGCACATTGCCAAATATGGAATGCATGAGTAATGCGTGTGAGTACGCTGGGATCAGCAATGCACTGTTCAACACCCCAGACGACCATGCCCAGGTGGCCGTGACGGGTGCTTATGTACAAATTTCGTCATTGGGCAATGGGTCCATTGTTCAACCCAAACAGGTCATCACACTGTTCTGAAGACAGGAGTCAGTATCTTCCTCTGCACTTTGGATCTGACAATTTCAAAAGTATTTCAAAGTACTGCACCACAGTACTGCCGGGCGCCGAAGAACGTAGCGCCGAAGAGCGACCAGGCTAGAACCTAACCTAACACAGCATACCAATGTATACATGGTAACTCAAACTGTGCATAGACTGTAGTACATGATAATAAGAATTGTCTAGGCTAGGAAGCTGATCCCTCAGTTCTTCGGAAACCAACAGTACTGTAGCTAAGTTGCTAAGTTACGCTGAGTCATGTGTCTACTTCCTGAATGCAGTGTTTTACTCATATCTGACATAAAATCAGGTGATGGAATAAAACTTTCATATTTTAAAAAATTACTTCATGTATCACAATTATATGCCCCCTAACTACTCCACCCCCTAACTACCCCACCCCCTAAAAACCCCACCCCCTAACTACCCCACCCCCTAACTACCCCACCCCCTAACCTCCAGGAAAGAAGTAATCACATGCACAGATTTCACACGCATACAACCACCTTGCCTTTCACATCTAAAGCCAGTAAGTGTAAGTTATAGGCGATTCACACGACAGGCAAATCCACGTGCACCGGAACGTTGCTATGGTATTTCACCTGTGAATGAGAAAAGTGGCTGAAATGTGCAAGCGAGCTGGGGGCCTACTTTCACATAATCGTGGCGGGTACGAGTACATTTACACCAAAAAAACGCGAAACAAGACTCGATTTTTTATGCGGCTCTTTTCACCGTCATAATTATTGTACGTATGTTTTGAAAATTTGAAATAGTCATGGCAGCTGGTGGATGAATCATTCAAATATGCAAACGTGCCTGTCATTGAGTGCCTGTCGTTGAGTGCAGCCATGTGAATCCACACAGTCACTTTCCTCGTAAATCACTCGCTGTAAAACGTGCAAGTGGCTGTCGTGTGAATCACCGATTACAAAGCAGTGTGCTTGGTAACTGGGGCAGTGTCAGCAATGCATATCCAAGCACTCATGCACATAGACCTACATTTCCGTCAGTATAGAGATAACACTGGTTGATCACTGTTTCTCCGCAACAGTCCGCAAGGAAGCAGGCACACTCCAGCCGAACATCACGGCAAGCATTGAATAGCAACCGACCCTGGCATGGAGGAATGGCATGAACACAAAATCAAGCAACATACACACACACACACGCGCGCGCACAGACGCACGCGCACGTCCCCCCCCCCCCCCCCCCCCGCCCCACACATATCACCACACCAAGTACACACGAACACATGCACATGAACACATGCACATGAACACACGCACATGCACCTGGTCCTGGTCCTGGTATACACTGCCATGTAGCTCACGTGTTATCACACACACGCACGCACTCACACCTGGTCCTGGTCCTGGTATACACTGCCATGTAGCTCACGTGTTATCACACACACGCACGCACTCACACCTGGTCCTGGTCCTGGTATACACTGCCATGTAGCTCACGTGTTATCACACACACGCACGCATTCACACCTGGTCCTGGTCCTGGTATACACTGCCATGTAGCTCACGTGTTATCACACACACGCACGCACTCACACCTGGTCCTGGTCCTGGTATACACTGCCATGTAGGTCATGTGTTATCACACACACGCACGCATTCACACCTGGTCCTGGTCCTGGTATACACTGCCATGTAGCTCACGTGTTATCACACACACGCACGCACTCACACCTGGTCCTGGTCCTGGTATACACTGCCATGTAGGTCATGTGTTATCACACACACGCACGCATTCACACCTGGTCCTGGTCCTGGTATACACTGCCATGTAGCTCACGTGTTATCACACACACGCACGCACTCACACCTGGTCCTGGTCCTGGTATACACTGCCATGTAGCTCACGTGTTATCACACACACGCACGCATTCACACCTGGTCCTGGTCCTGGTATACACTGCCATGTAGCTCACGTGTTATCACACACACGCACGCATTCACACCTGGTCCTGGTCCTGGTATACACTGCCATGTAGCTCACGTGTTATCACACACACGCACGCACTCACACCTGGTCCTGGTCCTGGTATACACTGCCATGTAGCTCACGTGTTATCACACACACGCACACACTCACACCTGGTCCTGGTCCTGGTATACACTGCCATGTAGCTCACGTGTTATCACACACACGCACGCATTCACACCTGGTCCTGGTCCTGGTATACACTGCCATGTAGCTCACGTGTTATCACACACACGCACGCATTCACACCTGGTCCTGGTCCTGGTATACACTGCCATGTAGGTCATGTGTTATCACACACACGCACGCATTCACACCTGGTCCTGGTCCTGGTATACACTGCCATGTAGCTCACGTGTTATCACACACACGCACGCACTCACACCTGGTCCTGGTCCTGGTATACACTGCCATGTAGCTCACGTGTTATCACACACACGCACGCATTCACACCTGGTCCTGGTCCTGGTATACACTGCCATGTAGCTCACGTGTTATTACACACACGCACGCACTCACACCTGGTCCTGGTCCTGGTATACACTGCCATGTAGCTCACGTGTTATCACACACACGCACGCATTCACACCTGGTCCTGGTCCTGGTATACACTGCCATGTAGCTCACGTGTTATCACACACACGCACGCATTCACACCTGGTCCTGGTCCTGGTATACACTGCCATGTAGCTCACGTGTTATCACACACACGCACGCACTCACACCTGGTCCTGGTCCTGGTATACACTGCCATGTAGCTCACGTGTTATCACACACACGCACGCACTCACGCCTGGTCCTGGTCCTGGTATACACTGCCATGTAGCTCACGTGTTTTCACACACACGCACGCACTCACACCTGGTCCTGGTCCTGGTATACACTGCCATGTAGCTCACGTGTTATCACACACACGCACGCATTCACACCTGGTCCTGGTCCTGGTATACACTGCCATGTAGCTCACGTGTTACCACACACACGCACGCATTCACACCTGGTCCTGGTCCTGGTATACACTGCCATGTAGCTCACGTGTTATCACACACACGCACGCACTCACACCTGGTCCTGGTCCTGGTATACACTGCCATGTAGCTCACGTGTTATCACACACACGCACACACTCACACCTGGTCCTGGTCCTGGTATACACTGCCATGTAGCTCACGTGTTACCACACACACGCACGCACTCACACCTGGTCCTGGTCCTGGTATACACTGCCATGTAGCTCACGTGTTATCACACACACGCACGCACTCACACCTGGTCCTGGTCCTGGTATACACTGCCATGTAGCTCACGTGTTATCACACACACGCACGCACTCACACCTGGTCCTGGTCCTGGTATACACTGCCATGTAGCTCACGTGTTATCACACACACGCACGCACTCACACCTGGTCCTGGTCCTGGTATACACTGCCATGTAGGTCACGTGTTATCACACACACGCATGCACTCACACCTGGTCCTGGTCCTGGTATACACTGCCATGTAGCTCACGTGTTATCACACACACGCACGCATTCACACCTGGTCCTGGTCCTGGTATACACTGCCATGTAGCTCACGTGTTTTCACACACACGCACGCACTCACACCTGGTCCTGGTCCTGGTATACACTGCCATGTAGCTCACGTGTTATCACACACACGCACGCATTCACACCTGGTCCTGGTCCTGGTATACACTGCCATGTAGCTCACGTGTTATCACACACACGCACGCACTCACACCTGGTCCTGGTCCTGGTATAAACTGCCATGTAGCTCACGTGTTATCACACACACGCACGCACTCACACCTGGTCCTGGTCCTGGTATACACTGCCATGTAGCTCACGTGTTATCACACACACGCACGCACTCACACCTGGTCCTGGTCCTGGTATAAACTGCCATGTAGCTCACGTGTTATCACACACACGCACGCACTCACACCTGGTCCTGGTCCTGGTATACACTGCCATGTAGCTCACGTGTTATCACACACACGCACGCACTCACACCTGGTCCTGGTCCTGGTATACACTGCCATGTAGGTCATGTGTTATCACACACACGCACGCACTCACACCTGGTCCTGGTCCTGGTATACACTGCCATGTAGCTCACGTGTTATCACACACACGCACGCATTCACACCTGGTCCTGGTCCTGGTATACACTGCCATGTAGCTCACGTGTTATCACACACACGCACGCACTCACACCTGGTCCTGGTCCTGGTATAAACTGCCATGTAGCTCACGTGTTATCACACACACGCACGCACTCACACCTGGTCCTGGTCCTGGTATACACTGCCATGTAGCTCACGTGTTATCACACACACGCACGCACTCACACCTGGTCCTGGTCCTGGTATAAACTGCCATGTAGCTCACGTGTTATCACACACACGCACGCACTCACACCTGGTCCTGGTCCTGGTATACACTGCCATGTAGCTCACGTGTTATCACACACACGCACGCACTCACACCTGGTCCTGGTCCTGGTATACACTGCCATGTAGCTCACGTGTTATCACACACACGCACGCACTCACACCTGGTCCTGGTCCTGGTATAAACTGCCATGTAGCTCACGTGTTATCACACACACGCACGCACTCACACCTGGTCCTGGTCCTGGTATACACTGCCATGTAGCTCACGTGTTATCACACACACGCACACATTCACACCTGGTCCTGGTCCTGGTATACACTGCCATGTAGCTCACGTGTTATCACACACACGCACGCACTCACACCTGGTCCTGGTCCTGGTATACACTGCCATGTAGCTCACGTGTTATCACACACACGCACGCACTCACACCTGGTCCTGGTCCTGGTATACACTGCCATGTAGCTCACGTGTTATCACACACACGCACGCACTCACACCTGGTCCTGGTCCTGGTATACACTGCCATGTAGCTCACGTGTTTTCACACACACGCACGCACTCACACCTGGTCCTGGTCCTGGTATACACTGCCATGTAGCTCACGTGTTATCACACACACGCACGCACTCACACCTGGTCCTGGTCCTGGTATAAACTGCCATGTAGCTCACGTGTTATCACACACACGCACGCACTCACACCTGGTCCTGGTCCTGGTATACACTGCCATGTAGCTCACGTGTTATCACACACACGCACGCACTCACACCTGGTCCTGGTCCTGGTATACACTGCCATGTAGGTCATGTGTTATCACACACACGCACGCACTCACACCTGGTCCTGGTCCTGGTATACACTGCCATGTAGCTCACGTGTTATCACACACACGCACGCACTCACACCTGGTCCTGGTCCTGGTATACACTGCCATGTAGCTCACGTGTTATCACACACACGCACGCATTCACACCTGGTCCTGGTCCTGGTATACACTGCCATGTAGCTCACGTGTTATCACACACACGCACGCATTCACACCTGGTCCTGGTCCTGGTATACACTGCCATGTAGCTCACGTGTTATCACACACACGCACGCATTCACACCTGGTCCTGGTCCTGGTATACACTGCCATGTAGCTCACGTGTTATCACACACACGCACGCACTCACACCTGGTCCTGGTCCTGGTATACACTGCCATGTAGCTCACGTGTTATCACACACACGCACACATTCACACCTGGTCCTGGTCCTGGTATACACTGCCATGTAGCTCACGTGTTATCACACACACGCACGCATTCACACCTGGTCCTGGTCCTGGTATACACTGATATGTAGCTCACGTGCTATCACACACACACACACACACACACACACACACACACACACACGCGCGCGCACGAGCGCACGCGCGCACACACACACACTGTACTGTACTTGCTCACTGCCCAAACTGGTCACGTGGGTCTCCCCGGGAGAGGGGAGAGAGACTCAAAAGAATCTTGGAAAGAAGACTCAACTGGCTATTGAACCGCCCAACGGTCGACACCCCCTGAAATCCCCCAAACTCTGGGTGGACTTGCAAAATGATCCCACTTATTGGCTCACACACCCCAGTAAGTGGGCGAGGACAAGGTGCAGAAAAAGAATTGACGGCATCAGGGTATCCGTACCGGGATCCAACTGCAGTTACCCCTGCCCCCAGTGAAGGTGATACTTGCTACTAGTGTGGGTGGCTAAATCAGAGTTGACCTGATATGCTTCACTAGCACCATTGATTACCCAAGAGTTAACCCTTTGCGTGCGGATGGCTTGTATGCACTCGCCTGAACCCCATGCCGGTTCTTTGATGACATGTATACACGCGCTTCGGTTTGCATCGTGTAAGTGGTGAATAGACCAGTGTACAAACTTCCGTTACTCTGTGAAAAAGCATCCGATCTCCACAAACGACACACCATTGGAAAGGCATTGAGCTCAGCTTTCCTGATATATAAAGGTCTTCGCAAAGTTGACTGGCTTGGCTGTTTTTGGTTATTTTCAAATAATCCAGTCAGTCATCTTTCCAAGATCGAACAGAGCATCATATGGTGCCTGCTGTTCTCGTTGCAACCATCAGTTCCGTCGACAGAGTGACTTGAGTCGTCATCTCCGTTTTTGCTCCCGGCAATCACTCTGGCTCCTTTCAGAGTGATGTGGCCCATGCGGCAACCAAGCCATAATAGCAGCAGTAGTAGTAATAGTAGTAGCTGTGTGTGTGTGTGTGTGTGTGTGTGTGTGTGTGTGTGTGTGTGTGTGTGTGTGTGTGTGTATGCATGTGTGTGCGTGTGTGTATGTATGTAAGTGTGTGTGTGTGTGCGTATGGGTATGTATATGTGTGTGTGCGTGTGTGTGTGTGTGTGTGTGTGTGTGTGTGTGTGTGTGTGTGTGTGTGTGTGTGTGTGTGTGTGTGTGTGTGTGTGCGTGTGCATGGCACATACCACTAATGGTTCCTTCGCTCCCTCTCCGTTGGTATATGTCAAGTTTGCTACAGCCTTCTTCAATGTCATGTCCTCGTGAAGGATTTCCTTCCTCAATTCCTCATGATTGTTACTCTTTACAAGGCGGAGCAGATACTCTTCCTTGCTGAGACTCTCCGTAGTCATGGTTTCACCTGTAGTACATCGGACAAAACGAGAGAAATTACAGTCAATTTTACTTGTATACAGGAAAACCTGTAATGGCGACCGCTCGGATATGGCGACCACTCGACCATGGCGACCACTTTTCCTTGTCACGGACGCATTCACGTTCAAAACACCTCGGATAAGGCGACCACTCGCTCAACGCGACCGACGGCCACCCACCCACGACCGCGTTGCACAGTGCTAGTCATGTAAATGTACGCATTACATGGTGCACCAGGCATGGTAGATCTACACATCAGTGCAGGAAGTGTAGATGTACATGGTGCATGCACGACATTTGACAGGTGTGAGGACCCCAGGCACATGAGTCGTGCTAGAGTAGCATAGGCGTGTGCACTGTGATGCACTGATCAAAACGATGTATCACATGTGGATATGGTCACGTGACCCACTGAACCTGGATAAGAAGACCACCTGGCCACGGCGACCACTTGTTCTCGTCCCTTGAGGGGTGGCCTTAGAGAGGTTTCACTGTACTGTGTGTGTGATAACTAGGCAAAACAGCACCACACAATACACATTCTCAGCCATGCTGTGCCACTTCTGCCTGGATTGGGAGTTGAGTAGAAGTGTGCACAGAAGAATTGAATGCTTCAGTAGCAAGAATAATGTTGAGCTCACCGGGGACCAGCTCTACATACATGGCACGACATGTATGTAATCATAACACCTAGTTTCGCCTTGTCAGACTGCAGCAAAAGAAATAGTCCTGAGATTACTATACAATTCTTCAAAACATGGCGGCAGCAGCATGGCAACATTATGTTTTTTTCTCTTCAAAATCCACTTATCTCCAGAAGCTCAGAAGTTATCATTATTATTATTTATTGATATTTTAATAGGGCAATCCCCAAAGACTCAAGATCTTCTTACGGGGCACCCTAAGAATGAAAGTAGCGACAAACTCGGCCATTTATTAATTAATAATCTTGACCGTCCACCTCTCCACACTGCGCTCGTGCCGGGTCCACATTCACCACATCACTACATAACGTTAGCGAGAAGCTGGGGTGAATAATGGAGTGTGGTGATGGGGCCCATTAAGGTATGACACAGGCACAGAATCCGCTTTGCCTTTTCAGCTCCAAAGTGGAGGATAACACTGACAACCAATGTACACTTTGCAGTGGCTAACATTTGATAGTTTAATGTTGTTTTGGTTCCGTGTAAGTTAACTTCAATAACTGTGCATCCATGCAGGCACTTGGACCTGATTTTGAATGATGTATAGCAGCATGTACACAGGTTGCCATGGTTATAAAATGGCTGGACACCTTGCTCAGGACTTGGTCTTGAAGGAAACAAGTTTTCTTTCCACCGGCACTAAGTCAGCTCACGAGTGTGTCATTGATTGTATTGCAACTCTCTTTAATGTGCGTTGTTCACAGTGGAGGGAAATATGTTCCCAGCATGCTACTTTCACTGGTTGGAGGGAAAGACACAAACCGGAAAAATCTGAAGAAAAAATTGACTGTCACCACCAAGACTCGAAACAGGGACCCTCGCTTGTAGCCAGCGATGCTCTAACCACTGAGCTATGGTGTAGTCGTCATCCCAGCAGAGACAATTCAACATTTTCTTCAGACTTCGTAACTCACGTTTCATAGCTGTTTCCTGCTGTTCCTGTTTTTCTACATGTTCGTACATGATTGTACATGTATGTATGTATGCCATGCTGAACCTTTTTTTACAGTATTAGGCCACGCCGTTTTTTTTCTCTGTTTCGCGTCACCTTATTCGATGAAATCAATGAGGGAGGGCGAAAAAAATAAAAAAAAGCCATCCAAAAAAAAAACAGTGTACGTGCATTACATTTGTGTACAGTGAAGCGACGAGGCACTGTTCATGTACATATACATGTACATGTACATGTACATGTACATGTACATGAGCACATGAGTGTATCCCCTCTGCCATGCTTTGTGGTCCAAACACAGGCGGCATGATGATTGTGTGACTTGCGGCCCAGCGTATTGCACACACATGTACATGACTGTACATGTGTGTGAGCTGAGTTACATTTTCCGGTTTTCTGGGTTTGCATTAAATTTGTATTGCAGTTTTTTAAAAAATTGTTCCGTTTTTTTGTTTTTTGAACTCCGGCTGTGAAATACATGCGCGCGCGGGACGCGAAACATAGATAAAAAACGGTGTGGCCTTAAGGCGAGTCCAAAATAAAATCACGATTCCCGGGCAGGACTCATGTGAAATTCGTGCGGTTTGCGAATTTTTCACTTATTTTTCCTACGTACATGATTGTATGTATGCCACTACTGAACTTTTTTTTACAGTTTTTTTCTTACGTATATGATTTTATGCATGCCAATATGCAATGCTGAACTTTTTTTACAGTTTTTTTTCCTACGTACATGATTTGTATGCATGCTAAGGGCCTGATCAGACTGCGCCAACTTTCCAGTGCCTGACAAAAAAAGAAAAGCGTCCAGAATTTGAATCGCGATCACACTGCACATGTGGGGAGAATGAAAATTCAAAATTCATTTCGAGCGTCAAGTGGTAATCTCCACGAATGACGGCAAACTCCTTCACCTTGGGGATTGCCAATACCTTCAGTGCAATCGGCAACCATCCTTATGAGTTTTGTCGTTGTCCGTGGCCAATTAGCTCCTCAATAACGAGATGAAAAAATCAGTGAATATCAGCGTCAGTGGCGTATCAGCGTCAACTCCTGTTTGGAGCGGAAAAGGGTGGTCCGTTCTTCCTTTTTTTTGGAGTGTCAACTCTCGCTTTTGCCGCTCTGGCGGCAAGTTACTATAGAGATTTGGATTATAACCCAGGATTATTTCGATTTTGCTGCAGTCTGACCAGGCCCTAATGCTGAACTTTTTTTACAGTTTTTTTCCTGCGTACACGATTGTATGCATGTTTCTATTTTATATTTATTACAACATCTCAAGACTCGGTGGAAACACCGGCCAATGTTAAGAGAGTGGGCGATTGCCAACCACGGCGATAAATAAAAGTAAGGGGAGGGAAAAAGAAAGGGGAGCAAAATGAACAGCAACAACAACTCCGTAAAGAAAAATAATGTCAAATAAAAACAGTGAAAAACACAGAGACGCAAAGGACTTGTGGATATTGAGCTATTTATGTCTGCATGCCAATGCTGAACTTTTTAACAGTTCTTTTCCTACGTACATGATTGTATGCATGCAAATGCTGAAATTTTTTACAGTTTTATCCGCCGATAACTTTTATTCAATTTTTTTACAGACAACAGGTACGCGGTTTACCCGTTCATTTTTTTCTGTATTTCGGCAAACAATGGCCCTGATCTGTACATAAGGGAGTCGTACAAGCCCGGGTTTGTGTGACTCCATGTCGCAGATCTACTCACACGATTAGTACTGCACATGTATATGAAGTGCTCGAAAGAAAAAAATTGCCTTTGGCTCGATTTTGGTGCGAGAGGGCCCGGGATCTCTATTTTTTTCGTTCTCGCCTATGTGATTCAATAAAGTAGTGACCATTCATTATCAAAGCTGACACATACACACACACACACACACACACACACACACACACACACACACACAAATTCACACACGCACGAATGCACGTACGCACACATACACACACGCGCGCACACACGTACGCATGCACGAACGCACACACAAGACTAGAGTGATTTGCAGTACCAAAAGGCTGACGAAGCCATGTGAATCGACCACCAATGTACACCTGGTCTACACCACATAGAGCACATCGGAATAGGACGGCCAGGATAGTTACATGTTACTATGCAGACCCTACACTTGCTGGGGTAGCCAGTATACAGCACATTGCTTTGATAGAAGCAGAGACTAGATGCACTGGTACTTCGAAGTGAAATTGTACACACACACACAGACACAGACAGCGATGGCGGAACCGATCCGGACGGTCAGCCCATGGCTGGATCAATTGTTCGGTTGCCAATGTGTGTTTACAACCGAGGACGTCATGTATTGACGTCATGTATTGACGTCATGTATAGACGCTGTCGTATTATACACAAGATATCACACACACACGCGCGCGCGCGCATACACACACACACACACTCAATGTACACACACACACACACACACAGAAACACAGCGGCAAAGTACTCACCACCAATGGCACCATACGTAGCGTGGACTCTCACTCAGCAAGCACCGCTACCATGTCCACTTAGCAAACTGCAAGACTTTCCACCTCTAGGCCAAAGAATAACTCAGTCGATAACACAATTTTCGGTTTAAGAAATTTCTTTCACTGACACAGCCAGTTGATCTAGAAAAGACGAAGGGCTGGACTCCAGCCAGTAGATCTTTATACTAGTCCACTATCTAGCCATGTTTACTGTCTGTCCACAGTGCCGCAACCGTCAGCTGAATGATCTGTGCCGTTCTCAGACTCGCTGACTATTATCATTGGCTTGTCCGCAAAGCGCTGCACGGACTGCCTGTCCGTAGATCCAAGCCAAGGACTGTACGCGGTGCGCGCGCCTCTCCGTGGTGTTCCGACCTCTCCGCTCCAGTCAGTGATGTGCTCTTGGCGCCGGGGGCCGCACTCCCGTCGTAAACCTGACTATCGCACAAGGACGACGTGGTCGTTGGTTGACCATTGTTGACAGCCCTTTGACATTTTTGTCAACTCACTACTGCACTGTCTTGTAGGATACGAACATCTGCTAAGGTAGTAAGTCGCAGTCAAGCCGGCTTCTTGGACATTGCGCTTGACTCAGAGGCTGGAGAATCGGACGGGTCGATAGACGTCAGGCGTCAAAAACTGGTATTTTGACGACTCCCTGGTCGATGCGCAGAGCTACAACAATACATTGTAGCTGCTAAAATGACGTCGGATCGCGCGCGTGAAGTACATGCGTGAAGTACAATGTACATGGCTGTATATCCTTTGCGCCGTGCGTGCAGCCTTGCGAATCCTGGGGTTTTCACTCACCCAGGCCGCAAAGGTGACTCACTCGATCGATCGGGTAGTCGCCGGCTGGACCTAGCTAGCACGGGCACCGGGACCAGGTAGATGCTGGATGTGTGCACGCAGACTACCTGGTAGTCGACTTGGAGTGCGAGATGTTGCACGTGATTCACCTACACCGTTTGACGTTTGTGTGCATGATCTATAGTCTATGTTCTCCATTGCCAGCATTGGCAGCATTGGCATGCATTGCTGCTTGCGAAATTCCTACTAGTACTACTACTAGTACTACTACTTACCGGTACTAGCAAGAGTGCACAAGCGTTACGTCAGTACTACGAATGACTATACTAAGTAGACGCCGGCTTTTTTTAGTTTTACGGACCTTTTCAGTTTTTACCCGATCTCCTTTGCCTTTGGTGCGTCCATTATCTGATTATGGCTATGGAGATATGAAGCCGAGGCCTCTGATCTGGCCCCACCGCCACACTCCATTATTCGCCCGCCCCGGGTGTCTGGAGATATGTGGATTTTGTAGGAAAAAACCTTTTTAGTGCGATCGATACAGTCATGATGAACATGATGATGGAGCGTGCAGTTCACGCATGTGCGGAAACACTTCTATTGTGTACGCTTGTGTACGCGTACGGTCGGTATTATACAGTCATGAAGTAACGACGTGAAGCTGAGATTTTTCACGGATTATTCAGCTACACGTAACTATCAGAGAAAGGTCTACGGTATGAGTGGAACGAAGAGTACATAACCAGCCCCATGTACTCTTGGTGGAACACAGCGGCTGCCATCAGCACGTCTATGTTGTACTGTGCCTGTGGTCACGACAGCAAAGTTTACAAACCATCGAATGGAGAGGGATTCTCCATTGAATGGCAATCACCGAGGACAAGGCATGTATAGATATTAGCATCAGACGATTGTCGCTTGGGCAGTGGTTTCGGGTGCACACTCAATTGATGCACGGGTTTTTAACTCTCATGTGGCCTCGAACCCGACAGTCCGCAGTCCACGACTGGTATACTACAGCCACTGTCTTTTGCTTTTTTTGTTTTTGTTTTACTATTAACACCGCCCTACTGGAAAACAGGTGGAGAACAAAAAGAAACGAGGAAAAGGACAAAACATAGGGGATTTAGGGACGACTAACACCGATATAAACAGAAAGAACGAAGGAATTACGGAGCGCGAGTTGAGAATGTCGAACATGTGGCTAGCCATTGGCGGACTATGCTCGGCCAATCGTCAAATTATGCTTTTGATTATGCCACAATTATGCCAACAAATATGCTGAATTATGCTCGGTTCCACTATGTATTCACGGTGTACATAGAGGATTGAGAAACCCCGCATACACACACGGCCATGCCCTAAGCATAATTTTTGTCTAAACCGAAAGATTATACCGACCTTACACGTTGGAATCCGTATACAGTCGTCCCTCTCTAATCCGGCACCTTTTGCAACGGCATTTTCTGCTGGATAAACAAGGGTGCTGGATTATGAAATCCTGCCCTCCAAGGCTCCAACCCGGCCCACATGTTATCATACAAGTTTGTGTCGTACGTCAAAACGTAGGGATTTTCTGTGTCAAACCAAGTACTTTGTGGAATGCATGTCTATAACATACACTTAGGAATATCCTATGTACTGGCATGGGATATTACCAAGTGGATGTTGCATGTGTTGTGTATGTTACAATGGTCCCTGACAGTCTGCGATGTACAACTGCTGGATTAGAAAATCGAATTATGTACAGTTTGAGTGATTTGTTGCAGAAAATCGCTGCTGGAGGCGGAATTCAAGTGCCGGATTAAATCGTAGAAAATGAACTGAAAAAATCCGTTTTGCCAGAAAGTGTGCTGGTTTGCAAGGGTGCTGGATAAACAAGTGCCGGATTAGAGAGGGACGACTGTATTACTAGTATGCCAGAGCATAATTTTTTGACGAAATCCCAAGATTATGCCAAATATTATACCGGCATAATCCGCCAAGGGCTACATGTGGCGTTTGCCCAGGTAGGGTCCGGCGGATTCTGCCGGCAGAAAAATTGGCAGAATTCGGTACTTTTTCTGGTAAGTTTCATGCATGTTTGGTATGTGGATAAAAAAAATTGAACAGAATTCGAGGAATTGCCGCCATAAGGTTTGTATGGTTCTGCCCATTTTAACTGCTTTTCGAGCAGAATCTGCCACCTTTTCGAGCAGAATCCGCCGGTCCCTATGCCCAGGCACTTCTGACTTGGTCAGTTGGCTTTGGGATTATGCTGGAATAGTGTTTGGCACAATCAGGTCCTTTTTGAGAAGGAGCATAAAATGGCATCCGAAAAACAAAGGCAGACGCCCAACGAGGCTGTTATACACATCTTCTATTGAAGGCATAATTGAATGCATAATTGTTGGCATAATCAGGTAATTTTTGAGACGGAGCATCAAATGGCATCGGAAATACAAGGGCAGATGCCCAATGAGGCTGCTATATACACACGTGCTATTGAAGGACCATACATCGCGCTTCTTGTCGATTTGGAATAATATTTTAGCAGCCACTACAGTACAGGACATCTCCCAATAGTTCAGCGTTTGCTTCTAAATTTGGCATTCCTCTTGCATATTATTGTCTTGTACTTCCACAAAGCTCCCAGTCCACATCATGACAATGGTCTGAGTCTTTTTTTCATGACAATTATCTATTCTTTTGGTATTTTTGGTGTGAAGCATATAAAGGCTGAATTGGCTGTTTTCTCGAGCATCCTGCGAGCATCCGCTAGATCATAAGCTGGTCATTTCCCGAGCATAATCCGCTTACCTCTAGTTTTCGGGCTTCGGCAACAAGTATGTACAAGAGCATTGCATCTTTCCTGGTTGACAAGCGGAATGAATTGTACGCTCATGTCATGTCAATTATTATGTGCTGCATTCTCCTTTGCGCTGCGATGGCAACGGAGAATGTAATTGTGCCTTAGAGGACCTACAATATTTGAGAAATATCAAACAAAAAAGAGAAATTAATTGATCAACAAGTCTCCTGCCACGTTGGTGGTTTCTGAGCCAGCTCTTTGCTTTTGTATTCAGACTGCATTCTTTTATTCACTAGTGCTGGTCCAAAAATCAAAATGGGGGGTGGGGTGGGGGGGGGGGGGGCGGAGAGAGGGATTCAAGGCTGCAGTTTGGATTTAAGGCTGTAGTTTGTATTCAAACGACAGATGACGAAGGCTGTACTTTAACGTAGTTCAGCGTGGCCAGTATTTTACACCCATGGCATACAGTTGCTACGATAACACCAAGTCTGAAAACACCAGTACAGGATTGCATGCAGTCTCTGGACATCTACATCTGGCTGTTTCCACCTTGTTAGGTTACGTCATATCAGCAAAGTTCGGAGTAACTGCCTGGACCATTACAGGTTATCATACGTGTACGAGTAGGCTGTTGCTACACGATATCAACAATCTGAAAGCACCAGTACATGATATCAACAATCTGAAAGCACCAGTACATGATATCAACAATCTGAAAGCACCAGTACATGATATCAACAATCTGAAAGCACCAGTACATGATATCAACAATCTGAAAGCACCAGTACATGATATCAACAATCTGAAAGCACCAGTACATGATATCAACAATCTGAAAGCACCAGTACATGATATCAACAATCTGAAAGCACCAGTACATGATATCAACAATCTGAAAGCACCAGGACATGATATCAACAATCTGAAAGCACCAGTACATGATATCAACAATCTGAAAGCACCAGTACATGATATCAACAATCTGAAAGCACCAGGACATGATATCAACAATCTGAAAGCACCAGGACATGATATCAACAATCTGAAAGCACCAGTACATGATATCAACAATCTGAAAGCACCAGTACAGAATATCAACAATCTGAAAGCACCAGTACATGATATCAACAATCTGAAAGCACCAGTACATGATATCAACAATCTGAAAGCACCAGTACATGATATCAACAATCTGAAAGCACCAGTACATGATATCAACAATCTGAAAGCACCAGTACATGATATCAACAATCTGAAAGCACCAGTACATGATATCAACAATCTGAAAGCACCAGTACATGATATCAACAATCTGAAAGCACCAGTACATGATATCAACAATCTGAAAGCACCAGTACATGATATCAACAATCTGAAAGCACCAGTACATGATATCAACAATCTGAAAGCGCCAGTACATGATATCAACAATCTGAAAGCACCAGTACATGATATCAACAATCTGAAAGCACCAGTACATGATATCAACAATCTGAAAGCACCAGTACATGATATCAACAATCTGAAAGCACCAGTACATATCAACAATCTGAAAGCACCAGTACATGATATCAACAATCTGAAAGCACCAGTACATGATATCAACAATCTGAAAGCACCAGTACATGATATCAACAATCTGAAAGCACCAGTACATGATATCAACAATCTGAAAGCACCAGTACATGATATCAACAATCTGAAAGCACCAGTACATGATATCAACAATCTGAAAGCACCAGTACATGATATCAACAATCTGAAAGCACCAGTACATGATATCAACAATCTGAAAGCACCAGTACATGATATCAACAATCTGAAAGCACCAGTACATGATATCAACAATCTGAAAGCACCAGTACATGATATCAACAATCTGAAAGCACCAGTACATGATATCAACAATCTGAAAGCACCAGTACATGATATCAACAATCTGAAAGCACCAGTACATGATATCAACAATCTGAAAGCACCAGTACATGA